ATGGAGAAAAGGTAGATGAGGTTTTTTTTTTTTTGGATTTTGACATTTTGGTAATGACGGTGAACAGCACCCTGCAGATGATGATGATTAGGATGATGGTAACAACCAACTCTCCTGCTGATGTGACAGGCAAACAATGCCTTGGAGAGCAGCATCTAGTGATGACAAACTGATGGTGATGATGGTAATGATGAGAATAAGGACAGAATGATGATGCTGATCGTACTAAAGAGCAGCACCGACTCTATGATTACAAACTATTAATGATGATTGATGTTGCTGATGCTGATGCTGATGCTGATGCTGATGATGCTGACGCACAGCGCCCTGTAATGACAACAGGATGATGATGGTGGCGAGCATCACTAATGATGATGATTTGATTATGACGATAATGATGGTGTGATGGCGAGCATCACTAATGATGATGATGACGATGATGACGATGCTGATGATGATGCTGATGATGATGACACACAGCGCCCTATGATGACAAAAGGATGATGATGGCCACTTCAATTTCTGGGCTTCTAGAAATGTAAGCCCTCACATATTGTACAGGTGTCTCCCTTGCAATATATAATCCCTAGTGAGCCCTTCATATGTGAGCAATCCTCTTGTACCGTATGAACCCTTCCAATGCAAGGGTATGTGTCGAAATACMCACCCCCCCCCCCCCAACGAAAAAAAACAAGTGTCTCACCTGCTAATCATTCAATTACTATATACAGGTGGCCCCCCTTTGTGGTATGCAATCCCTCCTAAGCCCTTCATACTTAAACCACAGGTGAACACCCGGGGCTGTTTCGCCAAACCGACGTGGCCCCTGCGCGCCGAAATTTGCCAAAAGGGGCCAATGCAGCGTTTTTCTTTTGTTTTGGCTGGCAGCAACAGCCATTTCGGTTGCCGCGAGCCCCGAAAAGCCCCAAAAATTCTGATGGTGGGGGCTAGTTTTTTTTCTGCAAGGCTGGGGCCCTGTACTGGTGGTTTAAGTGACCCTTGTGTTGTACTGCATGACCCTTTCAAAAGCCTGCAGCCAGTTGAGCTTTAAACCACCAGTAAGTACACCCAGGCCTGGAGGCGCTGCACTGCGCGCCAAGCTTTTCCGAACCGCAAGTGGTGCACTTTTTTGAAGTTCTTCATTTTTTGGACGGCGCCGCCAGCCGTTGTGGTCCGGCAGGCCGCCAGCCGTTGTGTGGTCCGGCAGGCCCGAGCTGCGAAATTCTTGGAGTAGGTGATGAACGAATTTCTTCAACTCTGGGCCCATGTACTGGCGGTTTAAGCCACCAGTACCTGTCCCAGGTAACTTCTTTTTTCTTTTTTTTTTTCCTTTGTTTTGGGGATGATGGTCCAATCTATTCATGGGGAGCGGCAGGTGCTGGGAACCGGGCCCAGCGTCCCGTTTGAAACATATTTGAGAACATATACAGAAGAACTTGAGATATCCACAGGTGCATTCTTCAGATGAAAGTGATATCAGACCAAAATGGCTGGCAGCACCAACCAAAAAAGGAAAGAAGACGCACCGCTCACTCCGCTGGCAGGTCATTTTTCTTTGGAGCGCGGTGCAAATCCGTGTTGGGAAAAGAAGATTCAGAGGTGCTGGTGGTTTTAATTTAACCCGATTACATTCTGCAAACCGTCAAGATATATGCCCTGACGAAAACCGGAAGTCGTGCAGCCTCACTTCCTCCCACTAGATCTAGAAAATGATCTTTGAAGTTTGAAGCCATAGGAGCATCTAGAGAAGAGTATACATCCCCCTATTGAGCAGAAGGGGATGTTGTCTCAAGTTGTCAACCTAGTTCAGTAGTTAGTAACTACTTAGTATTTATAGATCCGTACATCTGGGCCTAAGCCCCCCTCCATGCAAGCACGGACTCGAACCAGCGCCCTCAGCCTCAAAAGCCAAGTCGGTGAACCCCATTCAGTAGCTAGTAACTTAGTATTTATAGATCCATACATCTGGGCCTAAGCCAGCCAGCGCCGTCAGCCTCCGGAGCCAAGTCTGTTAACCCCATTCAGTGGTTGGTAACTTAGTATTTATACAATATAGATTCCTTTAACAAAAAAAAAAAAAAAAAAAAAAAAAAAAAAAAAAAAAAAAACACCTTAGTATTTATAGATCTGTGCATCTGGGCCTAAGCCCTCCTCTGTGCGAGCACGGACTCGAACCGGTGCCCTCAGCCTCAAGAGCCAAGTCAGTTAACCCGACCCCTACAGCCAGGACACGGTGTTCAAAAGTCGAACCAACAGTCCGGAGTCGGGACCCTTTTTTTTTTTTTTTTTTTTAATGGGAACGAATAGATCCGGAGTCAGGACCCACTTCGACAAAACAAAATATCTTCTTTTTTTTTAATAACAAAAGTTACAAAACGTTACCTCCCAATGGGGTTGCTAGAGGGGACGATATGAGCATCTCCCCGAGGACCCGCCCACCCTCGGGTACTACAGTCCATTGCTTGGGAGCCGCAGCTGCTGGAAATTGAGTCGAGCTCCCTTTAGGTGATGGTATTTAGTGGAAGTCGTTAAGGTAGGACCGTGGGAGTAGAGGTGCGCTGGGGGAAGTTACTAAAGCGGTAGGTAAGGGACTCCCCTAGGAATACCACATTGCCAAGAGCCAAAGGTGACTCATACGGTTAAAAAA